TATAATCTTTCTAAGCATGGATCCTGATGTTATCAAACAAGCGTGTAACAAGGAAGACATAAGGGTAGTGCATATTTTTAAGGGTCAAAGACACAGCTAACCAAGGAAGATAATTTTATAAGCAAGACCTAAAGATTTTTGTTTACAAAGGGGCCAATAGGAATTCCTTCCTCCTGGTTAGAAAGGACCATAAACAAAGGTCCAATGTTCTGAGGCTGGGAGGCTGTTGACCAAGAGGAGGTATACTGCCTCTCCACATCTGGGCTCATTCTGTCCCAAGTGGCAAGGGTCCCATTCAGTACAGCCTCTAAGGGCTGACAGTCTTAGAGCTAAGCCTTGACCTGGCTCCCACCAAGCAGCCCTGAGTCCTCCTCCAGGGATCTTCTCTATTTTGAAACCAGACTCAGAGGCTTCTGAACTTTCCCAAACATCCTCTGAGCACAAATCAGGAAGGCAGGGATGGGGGCGGCAGGAATACAGACGCAGGAGCTATTTTTGAGTGACTGGAAATAAAAGCTAAACACAGGTGTGTTCTGCACAAGTGGAAATGTTCCCAAATCCACAAGAATTCTTTATAAATAAACTAAAAAACAAATCATTCAGCTTGGCACATCTCAGTTTCCAGGGACACACACAAATAGTTTAGGTCTTTGCACATTATTTCAGGAACCATAGAGGGCTTATAGACTCCCACTAAAGGTGTCTGACTCATTTTCTAGAAAGCCACAAGAACTGACAATCTAGGGCTAAATATGAGGGCAACTCCAGCTCTGTGACTCCTGCCACAGCATGGAAAAGCAGGGCAAAGGGAAACCCACCCCAACTGACTACAAAAGGCAGTATCAGCAGAATTCAAGGCCAATGGAGAATCTCACAGCAAATGCAATTGAATTTAGAGAACAGCAATTCAGGTCTTTTACCTCAAAACTCAAACGTACAACACATACGCATATCAAAATGCACATTAAGCCGGGCACGCTGGTGTATGACTGTAACACCAGTTACTTGGGAGGCTGAGGCAGGAGGATCACAAGTCGCAGGACAGCCTCAGAAATTTAGTGAGACCCTGTCTTAAAATAAAAAATAAAATGGTCTGGAGATGTAGCCCAGTGGCAGAGCACCCCTGGGTTGAATCCTGAGTAGCCCAAAAATGCGTATTAAACAAAGCAGGGTGAATGTATTTATAATAGTATATAATCATCTAAATTAACTTCTGGGTGACTCCTGAATTTAGAGGAAGAAGTAAGTATTTTCTAGGATGTCGCCAGGGTTATAGGCTCAGACTCCATTTTTACAGCTTTCAGCAAGCTAAATATTTAGGGCATGTTTTCCTTCCAAATTCTTGCTAAAATTGTACCCACTGTGAATTCTTAATTATTTTAAGTGGATTTCTTCTCTCTCTCTCTCTCCCCCCTCCCTCTACCATTTTTACCTACTTAATATCATAGTACTCCAGCCCTAGCAGCTAAGCCCAGACACAAGAGCCCTTGATTCCCATCTCTGAAGTCCAAGAAATAGCAGTTGAAGTTGAATTAACAATTCTTAGGCTTATGGGTACCACTGGCAGAATCCTTCCTGCAAGAGGTGTTTTGAACATAGTGTCTTAGTAATTCCCTACAGCAGCCCTGTGAGGTCAGCTCTGTGGCCTTTACACTATGGCTGAGGACACTGAGGCTCAGAGGGGTTAAGTTTCATGCCCCAAAACACACAGCCAGGAACTATGGAGCTGAGATTCAAATCCTGGTTTCTCTGAGCTGGTAGCCTACATGACTTGTATCTTAACATGCCGTTTCCGACAAACTAGAATGCTAGGTCAAGGATGGCAGGAATTTTATGGGAATAAAAATAAAACCTGCACCAGTACAGGACGCAAGAGACCCGATTTCCCAGAAGATCATATAAAATAATAATAAAAACATAATGTTAGAGCACTAGGAATTTTTGTTAAATAAGCTCAAAATGGGCTCAAGTACATGAGTGAAGACTGGCTGTTATTAGCTCTCAAAGAGACAGTTCAGCGGGTAGGCAGAGGACAGCCCAGGAAGCAGGAACACACATGCTTTTTAGGATCAGATTTCTGAGGACACAAGAGCAGGATGGGGACACAGGAGGTTCCTGCAGAACAGTCACAAGGACCAAGGCCAGAAAGGGACTGTGGCAGAATGCCTGAGGAAAGGAGTGTCAGCAATCATTGTCTTGATTTTTCCAAAAAGGAAAGAGAAACTACCCAAGATTGGTTGGTGCACAGAGGTCATGTGAGCACAGCATTATTACAGGATGACAAGAAGAAGGGGCTGAAGTGCTACCGATGAGGCAGATAGAGCATGAATGGAGTTGGAAAAAGCATCCTTTACCACCCTAGGGCTTTCCTCTGGACCAGGCACAGAGAAGGAGGCTGGACCACTGCTTATTGGGCCCACAGGCCTGGGCTGTGTCTACATGGACAGGAAGGGGCAGGGATACCGGTAAACAGCTTGGGGGAGGGGGCAGTGTATAACCAGGGGACCAAGTGTCAAAACAATACATGCACTCTAGGATCAGTGTGTAAGTCAGGTTGAGGGATTAAGTGTACACAGGAGATGACAGCAGCACATTTTGCAAATGTAGTATCAAACTCCTTCTGAATACATTAAATAAAATCAATGAAAGTAGAGAAATGGGATGCAACAACCCTCTGGATACTCTTGAAAGCAGCCTGCTACTCTGGTCTATTCATGTTTCCCTACTGGGTGACTTAGACTGGTAGATGTTCCCCGAAAGGTCTTCGGAAAAATCGGATTCCTTTTATCAGACTAGATCTTTATTTTTTAAATATTTATTTTTTGTTGTAGTTGGACACAATACCTTTATTTTATTCATATATTTTTATGTGGTGCTGAGGATCGAACCCAGGGCCTCGCATGTGCTAGGTGAGCGCTCTACCACTGAGCCACAACCCCAGCCCTCAGACTGGATCTTAAACTATGAGGTTAAGGACAAAATCATCAAGATGAATATGTTCTTGTTGGGTGTGGTGATGCATACCTGTAATCCCAATAGCTCTGGAGGCTGAGGCATGAGGATCACAAGTTTAAATCCAGCCTTAGCCACTTTGAGAGGCCCTAACCAACTTAGTGAGACCCTCTCTCTAAATAAACTACAAAAAAGGGCTAGGAATGTTGCTCAGTGGTTAAGTGCCCTAGGTTCAATCCCTGGTACAAAAAAAAAAAAGAAGATGAATATGTTCTCATCATGACATGGACTCAAATGGCAAGGAAGGACTGGGTTATGATGTGTTAAGATACAAATCAACATGTTCAGGTAAGAGATTAACCATGGTGTTTTTTTCTTTTCTCAAACCCTATTAAATTTTATGGGCACAACAGATTTAAAATTAAAAAGAAGAATAAAAAAGAGCAGACTGGGTTGGGCATGATGGCACATGTCTGTAATCCCAGCAGTTTGGAAGGCTGAGACAGGAGGATTTTGAGTTCATAGCCAGACTCAGAACTTAGTGAGGCCCTGTCTCTAAATAAAGTATAAAAAAGAGCTGGGATGTAGCTCTGTGGATAAGCACCTCTGGGTTCAATCCCCAGTACCAAGAAAAAAAAAGGGGGGGGGCTATCCCCTCCTCTAAAAACAAAACCAAAAATAGGGCAATGAGCCCCACCTGCCTTCAAAAAATGGCATCTATTTAATTCTCTGGTTGCTTTATCATTATGGGGGGTGGGGGAACACTCCATCCCTTTCCCTGTATTACTAAAATCAATTATTGGTGCTAATTATTAAAGCATTTGTATTATGCTTCATGCCTGTTTAACAACTTCCTTATCCTGTTTGTTTGGTTACAGGTCTGATTAAAAACAGGAATGCACAATGCATAAGAGAGCAGCCCAAAGGAGGCCAGCAGAAGGATGAGGGGAGGGGTGGTTAAAAAAAAAAAGGAAGAACTGTTCCTGCTTCACTTGCAGAAAGGAACTAACAGCAAGGCAAGCATCTTCCCCTCCTCTCATTTCCTCCTGCCACATTCAACACCCACAGAACTATACTGAAATAACTTAAGGGTAGAATATTTCACAGGTAAAAAGATGGACGAGTTTTTAGGTAATCTGCAAAATGGAATAATTTTGCTATTCCAGATAGGTGTCTGCAAAGCTCCACTTTGATACTGAGTCCTTGAAAGGACCAGCTCTTCCCCTAAAATACATCTGACCTTTGGCAAGCTACTTAACCTCTGGGATCCTCGATTCCCTCGCATTTTTGGAATAGGCTCTTCAAACACAATCTCCAAAGCTATTTCCTAGAAGTAGCTGACCTTAATCATAAAGGCAAATCCCACTGACCATCATAAAACTCTGTACATCAGAGAAAAGACCAAAGAGTTCTAGGAATCACTTGAATAATATGACTCAACTAGTGACTTGGTGAGGAGTGCTGTATGAATGCAGAAATGGTATGTGGTCAAGACCCGGCAAACCGCATGGCTTCACTCGGATTTTATAGCTCTCCTGGTGTTTACAGGGCTCTGGCTGTAATGATAATAAAATTGTCCAACCTTCTTAGTCCAAACAAGACAAGCAAAATTCTCTCAGGCACTTTACCTGTCTTTGATCTGTAGAGCAAACATTCTTTGAGTGTTTTCTGCCTGTGAGGCATGACCAGTCTTTTTAAAGCCCCTCTTGGGTCCTTCATGACGCAGAGCTTTGCAGCCCAGCTGCTGTAGAGGGCAAAACCTATAGCCAAGCAGGCTGCTTCCTGAGCTATTCCTTCTGGGATAGACTTTTTCTACAGGGCTGTGCAAATCTACAACTGGTCCTAAGGCAAACAGAAACCTATTCTATTCTCAAGTTCATTCATTCACCTAGACTTAATCTGATCAAAGGAAAAAATACAAATTCTTTCTCCCAAGGTCAGGATCATGAAAACTAGGAGCTTCAAAGGCTAAAGCAAAACTTTGTATTATTCCATGGACACACCAAAACACTCCACAGTTTAGAAGGCAAGAGAGAACCTTCATTTACCTTATTGATGAGAGTTACTATATCTCCTTCTTTGATTGTCAATTAATCGTCATTCTGTGCCTCATATGGAAATATTACTTTGCAGTAATCTTTGCCTGTAAGAAGAAAATAAAACACAACCTTTAAGGTGTTTTATCTAATGAGCTGCCCCAGGAGAAGGCGCTCTCTGTCACATTAACATCAGAGAAAGGCACACTTAATAGGTAGGCTACTACAACTGCATAAAGCTAGCGCCACCCTAAGAAAATTCCCGAAGAGTGTTCATTGTAGGCTTCATATTTATTCTCTGCATTCTTCCCCTCACAGATTGTGAACTGCCACTGGCTACTTTGCAGGAAAGAAAGCAAAAAGTCATTCTTGGTTTCAGGAAAACAGATGTGTACCATTTTTTAAACTCTTTAGGTGCATGCATAAGCACACATCTAAAGAGAGCAAAAAGCTTACATGTTGTCCTATTGCCTTCTTTCACACATTACAAAATCAGAAAAAGGATATTTATATATTATATAAAGCCAACATGGTATATAGAACAATGAAAAATTACATCATTATGGTATGTCTTAAGAGATAAATGTTGATATATTTGTGTGTGTATGTGTGTCAACCACAACAGCCAATGAATGCTGACAGAATATTCTTTATGCATATATGTGTGGGAAGGGATGAACCTGTTCCAATACATCCCATGGTCTCTATGTGGGAACCTGCTTATTCACTGATGGGACTGTTGATTAGCCAGGAAATACATAATCCTCAAAGAGGGAAAAATACTAAGGCCACTCAAAATCAATTCAAGTATGTCCTGAATTATATGCTTTTGGAAATTTGTCTGACATCATATTATACCTGAAAGCACTGGTAAAGACAATGAAAACATGTGTAGGGGATTTGAGAAGTGAAGACTTAGAAAACTCAGCTTTTATGACTTAGGACAAGAGTTCGAAAGAAAAATTCAAGAACTAGTATCTACTAGAACAGGCATTTATTATTCTTGACCAGAGTCAATAAGTCTAATGGCTTTGAATATCCTTAGATATTTCCCAAGGCTTAGGCCAGTTCCTGCAGACAGATAATAACCTAAAGCTATATACATAAGTATCAATTATACTGTCCCTTTTATACTTTATGTCACTGAAATGCAGTTCTTTATTTTGGTGAACATCTCATCAATCAAAGATAATGATACATAAAATAAACGCAATTTAAAATCCATAATACAGACACACTGTGGTCTATGGTTGAGATATGACAAAGAGGGAGAGGAAAAAGGAAGGGAAAGGAGAGACAGAGGGCGAGGGGAAGAGAGAGGAAAAGGGAAGGGAGAAGGAGAAAGGATCACTTAGTTCTTTGCAGATGTCTTTGTTTTCTGTGCAGTGGCTTAAAGATATCATCATATCCCCTATCCTCATGTTGAAAACCCTGGACTTACGATGGCTTTTGCTCATTAACCTGTATTGAGGGACACGAATTCTAAATCCCATCAAGACCATTTTCCTAAACCCACATAGTTACAAATGTTCCATCTCTTTTTGATTAGGAGTAGCAAAAGCTTCCCTTATCTGAATTGGTCAAATGTTCTTTTCCTATTGACTGTGCTTGTGAAATATGACTACCTGACCTCAAAACTTGAAACAACACAAACACATACAGTATTACCAAAGAACTGCCCTGCAGGGTCCTTGCTTTAACAGTAATTCTTTGGATGGAAATCAGGGGACATCTCACAAAGAATTATCAGATGCCCATGGACAACAAAGAAAGAAGGGACAGGTCATACTTTATTCCTTTCAGTCAAAAAAGTTAGCAGCCCACTTCCTGGTTCACAGAAGCCTAATTCATTCAGGCATTATATTCTGGAATGGAGAAGCCTTCCACAGCTCTAGGGAAGAGTAAAATCTGTCCAGGCAAGTAATTTTAACCTCACTCGCCTTTCTTGGTGATTGATCTAGGGTTAGACATGTGATCTACTTACAGCCAATGAAATGTGAGAGATACTCTGCTTGGGGTGGGGTGATTAGATTTTGTTTCCTGGTTAAAAGAGGGAAAAAAGACTTGGAAATAGCTGCCTCTGCCTTTTTGCTTTAAACATTGTTTTATCTTTGTTGGAAGGCAGGGCAATGTTTGCTCTGTTGCAATCATGCTTCAATTGTGAGAAGAAAGCCAAGAATTTGACACTGAGCTCTGACACTGCTGAGATGTCTTTCAAATGCACCAGCTTCAGGGGACCTGTCTCTGGATCTCTTGTTAGAGGACTTAATAAACTGATTGTTGCTGGGTTGTGGCTCAGCGGTAGAGTGCTCACCTAGCACATGCCTAGCACATGCGAGGTGCTGGGTTCGATCCTCAGCACCACATAAAAATAAGTAAATAAAATAAAGGTATTGTGTCCAACTACAACTAACAAAAATAAATAAACTGATTGTTTACCACAACTTTGGGGTTGGGTAGGTATTCACTATTCAAAGCAGAAGGCACCCTGACATGAAGAAACTCCATAGAAGAGGAGAGAAATTTCCAGTTCACACTTTCAAAATACTTGGCATTATATTACATATAAGGCTCTTCGTATGTATCTCTGTCATCCTTTTCCTATGTTTTGGTGCCTATGAGCATCGATAAATGGCTGTGGAATTGACTGGTAGTAACAGTGGGAAAATACTGCCAAGAAAGTACTAACATGCTTTTTAAAATGTTTCACAGGGCCACTTTGCTTTATGCTTACAGTTTCCCTATAAGCTAAGAAGGGTAGGTGTCTCCTGCTTTACTGAAAAACAGTTTTAATGAAGGACAATTTAAATGCCATAAAATGCATCCATTTTAACTACACAGTTTGGTGTGTTTTGAAATATTTATGCAGTTGTGTGACCATCACCATATTGTAGTTTGGAATACTTCTACCCCACAGCTATGTTGTTTTGTGTGAGAGGCATTAGACAGAGAATTATCTAGAAAGTTTCATCTTTAGATAAAAGGAGGAGATAGTACTGCTAGTGGCTACTACCTACTACCACTCTCCATGAAGCAAGTTGCTGCTGCATGTCTTGCCCCTCTTTGCATCCCTAGAACCCCACAGAACTCTCATTTCTTGATTCTCAAATGATTCCTATAAAGTATTTCTGAGGGGCAGAAAGTAGGAGAAGAGGATTCTGGGCCAGGAATTAGGACACTCAGGACTGGGTTCCATCCCCATGGACCTTCTGGAGCATATGACCCATGCAGTCATACATTGTCCTCAGGTATAAAATCAGGGATCAGCCACAGAGGGACAAGAGGAGGGTTTGGTCAATTTTAGCAGAACACTTTTAGCACATTAAATCTCCCTCCAGACCTCAAATATTAAACAACTAATAAAGAGCTGCTCTGATTAGTTCTTTATAGCTGAACCATAAAGAAGAATGAAATTATGTTACATGCAAGAAAACAGATGGAACTTGAGAACATTATGTTAAGTGAAATAAGTTAAACTCAGAAAGTCAAGGGTTGTATGTTTTCTCTTACATTTGAAAGCTAGAGAGGAAAAAGGAAAAGAAAGGTGGTGGGGGGAATCTCATGAAAACCCAAGGGAGAGCAATAGAATAGAGGAAAGGGACCAGAGGGAGGGAAGAAGGGAAGGAAAGGAGAAGTACTGGGGAATAATATTGGTCAAATCATATTGTTATCTTGTGTACATGAATGAAAATGTAACAACAAATCCCACCATTATGTACAACTATAATATACCAATAAAAATATGGGAAAAAAGAGAGTAGGACTGTACCATCTCCCACTCAGGTCCCCCAAAGCATGTCAATGATGCTCTGGGGGCTCTAACAAGCACACTGGGCAATAACTAAGTTCCTCATACAATTTATCAAAAATAAATGTAAACATGAAAGTTTATTAACTCCAATATTGTGATTGTAGTTTCATAATATATGCTTACTATTTCAATTCAAATATTTACTGAACCACCACCAAGAAGATACTGTGAGCTCTTGAGCCTGTGATATATGAGTAAGCCCTGCCACTCCCTCCTGTCCTTACATGGAATTGACAATTTAATGCCTAGAGAAAAGTAAGGGAAGAGGAGTGACAAAAAGAGATGAACACATACATAAACTGATTATGTTATATTGTGGTGTTTCAGAGAAAGGCAAGATTACATGCAGGACAGAGTTCACAAAAGAGGAAGCATTGGTATATCTTAAGAATACAATCCCAAATCAATTTTGGATGTGGAAAGATTATAATAAAGATTATGAATAGGGGCCAGAAATGGAGAAGGTAATGAAATTAATTTTTCGAGGCAGGAATTTTCCATCTATTCATCAATTTGATGGATTTAATTAGCCTTGGATCAAACAGGAATGAATTCATAGGCACACATAAAGAAAAAAGGCACAATTTATCCAGTGACTGAGCCGATTGTCTCTTTTTTTTCCTTAGGAAGATTTTAAAATACTAATGAATTAACATAAGACTGAAATCCTGAATTAGTTCTATAGCTTTTTTTTTTTTTTGTCTTAGAGTCCTTTAGAATCTTATAAAAAGCAATGACTATCTCTTTTCAGGAACAAAACACAATAAACCATACAATGAATGGAGAAAATGTACATAAAATATAAAAAGGTACAAGGATCCTGATGACATTACCTAAGTCTCAGATCAAGAGCCCCTGTATTGATTATCAGCTTTCAAATTTTAAGAAATTTGCTCAATTAAAAATCACAAGAAATTCTGTCATGATTCACACCCTCCCAAATCATTATTTCAAATCTCTAGACTTAGAAATTTACATTATAAAGATGGTTGAAGGAATTGAACTCACATGCCCATATCACATAATTCCTTTTAAGTGATTTTATGATCTAGTCAATAAAAAGTTCAACAAGAAAAAAAATCCCTCAGCTTAAACTATAAGCAGAATAAATAATTAACAAGTTGAACATACACACAAAGGACATAACATTAAATCCAGAAGAACTCTCTGAGCTCAGTCAGCTTTGGGATACAAAGATCAAAGTTCCATGTGCCACATTCAGAGTCTAGTAGGAAGCCTTCCAGAGCCATCAGCAATGGTGGAAAGCATCAGGATACACCTGGAAATAGTGTTTTC